TCCACTGCCCTGGGCCATCCCCACCCCCCTTTGCAGAGGGGCCTATTGCGCCAGCTGGGCCTCCCCCACCCAATGGCACAGCAGGGAGCCAGGGAGCCCAGGCGTGGGGATAAGGAGGTTTCATTCCCCTCACTCCCTTGTGTGGCGAGTTGTGCCAGACACGGGCTTGTCAAAGTGCAGCCGCCGGGTGGTTGGCACTTACAGACAGGCAGGGGGGGGGAGATTGGAAGGAGAAGGCAAATAGGCAGCGGGGCCGGACCAGAGACCCAGATCATAGCAGGTATCTGCATCCTGCTCCGTCTTCCCTCTTCCCGTTCTCTGGGGTCACTCCCGCTGAAGCGCTCTGTGGGACTGGTTTGTGGCCTGTTTGGAGAGGTCACCAGTCTGGGGGCTGTAAGAAGCCCCGGATTTGAGAAATTCGCCCTGAGTGGACGCCCTCAGCTGTGCCCAGACACGGCCCGGTCCGTCACACTCATCAAGTGCCATGCACCCTTGAGCTGCACTAGTGCTCCCTGAGGAACAGCCAGTGGGCTAGTAAATAAATGAGGAGAAGCACTCGGAGCCATTTGGTGAGTCTCCTTCTTCCTCTTTCCATACGTGACATTTTTGTACATGTTCATGTTCTTGTAGCAGCGTGGGAGGGAGGCGGGAGGTGATGGGGTTTCCTGGTTCCTTTGGAAGATTTGCTATTCACATTTTTTAAAATAGGAGGAGTTTAAGGTCACATCTGTGCTTAGCAGACACTTCATGCTCTGGCGGTTGATCTTTGCCATTTGATTTAGCAGGTCTAGTATAGACCCGTAAATCACATGCTGAGGGCAGCCCCAGCCAGCACCAGGTATGGCTTATACCGAGCGCTGCAGAGAGACAGCCCCAGAGGGCTGAAAGCAAACTGACTCCAAGGTTGTGAGGCTCAACATCAGCTGTTTTGGCTCTAACAGTTTGAGAACTTACCCAGGCCCTGGGCGTTTCGGTCCAACCCTGAGTAGAAAATGGAAAGCACTTACTGTAAAAAGTGTTTTTGTTTTGGGGAAATGTGTAATCTGAGCACAGCAGAATATTCAGATGTTCCTCTGAGATTTTTCAAAAGACAGTAAATTCCACGTGTAAATGCCCATTGGGAGGTACTAGGGATTAGGGAGCAGGGGAGTATGGGTAATAAAGGAAGGTGGTTTGGAGCTGCAATGAGGGGAGAAGAGGCGACAGAGAGGAGTTTAAACTGACTGACAAACCCTTTCTTAATGCAGCGTGTTCAGGCTCGGTCCTTTCCGCGTTATTCCCTGTTCCTCCAGAGCGTCACGTCTGCTGAACTCCATGTTCTGGAAGGGCACAAGCTACCACCAGGCTTCACTCTATTAGAGCTTTGGGCCCTGCCTGCCAGCCCTGACACCGACCCACGGCGCAGGCAAGAGAAGGGGAAATTCAACCTTTATCCTTTGTGGGTCGCATCAAAGTCTCCGTCATTCTAAACATTCTAGGGCCAGTGTGAAGAATGGGGGGGGTGGCGGGGGCTCTGGCTATAGCCACTCTGCCTTCACAGGCACCGAGTGGTACAGAGGGTCTCACATTAGCCCTGCACAGACCACGCCAATCTCAGACTCGTGTGTATAACCCTTGGCAGTGGGATTCCCAAAGCTGCCTCAGTGATGTAGTGACATCGGGACCCCTGCACCCTAGTCACTTAGGCAGTGTTGGGAACCCCACCCTGCATGTAGATCCTGGGAAGAGACCCCCCCCCCACTAGTCATTGATTCATTTGTCCTTGTTTTCCAGAGAAACACGCAGCAGAACTCGGTAAGTGTCATTCTCCTTCTCCCTACGGGTAAACCCTGTTGTCCTAAGGTGTGTCCTCACCATGGTACTTTGTTCCTGTAGGGGGTTGGGTTTTTGTCATTTTTATAATACAACTTCAAAAATGAATGGTGGTCTCAGAGTAAGCAGGAGAATTCTCACGCCAGAAGGTCACTTGAGTTGATATCTGAGGTACTAACGTGCTGCTATTTGAATAGAAGTTGAGTCTTAACTTTAGTTCTGAAAATGTAACGAAATAAAATGAAGTAATATGATGCGAATCATCTTTTGGTTAAGACAGAACCACATCCCCCAGAGCTGTTCATCTATGACTAGTAATCAAAGAAAAAGCAAGTGCTCAGAGATTAATGTAAGAAACCCTTCCCCTCCTCGTGCAAGGAGGAGTAACAGTTAATTCCAGGGAAGGGTTTTGGATCGACTATCGCATCTATATGCGGCAAGTTAAATCAGGCGACCGGCATTTTAAAATGGCGACTGGCCGCGAATATGCTAATCAAGCGGGGGATATTTAAATCCCGTGCTTCATTAGCAACTTCGGTATGCTTCATTTGCCTCCCTAGTCTGAACTAGGGGGCAAGTGTAGACATACCCTAAGGCTCCTTTTGCATATCTATCTTAACAAAGCACTGAGATTCTCAGAGGACTGAACGCTCTGAAAACACAAGTCATCATTTAAAAACAAAACAAAAATTGCTCCTGGTCTCCTATTCAAATCACTGAACTACACATCCTTCCTGTGATGATGTGATTATGTTACCACATAACTGAAGGCTCCACTGTAATTCAGTGGCTCTCAAACTTTCCCACTGCTGCACCCCTCTCAGGAGCCTGATTCATCTTCCGTACCCCAAGTTTCACCTCTCTCCAAAACTAGTTGCTTCCAAATTAGATGTAAAAATGCAAAAGTGTAAAAACACGCTATTGCTGAAAAATTGCTTACTTTCATTTTGTGTGTATGAAATTTTAGTTTGCACTGACTTTGTTAGAGGTCTTTTATGTAGCTTGCTATAAAACTAGGCAAATATCTAAATGAGTTGATGTACCCCAGACGACTTCTGCATACCCCTGGATGAGAACCACTGTTGTACTGCTGAAATGCATATAAAGAAAGAAAAGAATAATTAAGGATTTAGAAGTAAGAGGAAATAAAGGTTTCACTTAATTTTGAAGTTTCCTAACTTGTATGTGCTTTACTTTGCAACCATGCATTCTTTTAATGAGCTTTTGCATGGTGTTTACATAGTATGGACAATTCCTTGAGCAGAATACTCAAGAGGAGAGTGAGAGGAAAACGAAGGGGAGTTCAGCCCCTCACAATCGTTAATTCCAAATGTACAGAGGGACCAGCAAAGATTCCACAGGAAGATGCTTTATCTGCTGATGATAAGATGTGGCAATAGCAGAGGGTATGTCTACACTTGCACCCTCTTTCAATAGAGGGATGCAAATGAAGACATTTGAAATTGCAAATTAAGCCAGGATTTAAATATCCCATGCTTCATTTGCATGATCGCATTAAGGTGCTATTTCGAAATGACACTATTTCGAAATAGAAAACGCGGTGTAGATGTGGTTATTTCAGGAGAACACCCTTCTTCCAAAATAACCCTTATTCCTCATAAAATGAGGTTTACCAGTTATTTCGGAAGAAGGGTGGTCTCCCGAAATAACCACATCTATACCACGTTTTGTATTTCGAAATAGCGCTATTTAGAATTAGCACCATAACGTGATTATGCAAATGAAGCATGGGATATTTAAATCCCAGCTTCATTTGCGATTTCGAATGTCTTCATTTGCATCCCTCTATCGAAAGAGGGTGCAAGTGTAGACAAACCCAGAATCTTGTCAAAAAGTTTAAGAAAGTGGATAAGTCCAATGTCAGCATTAGGCTGAAAGACATAATGATCCAATACAAGAGCAATCTGTTCTGGGTTTTCCAAATACTGACAGACACAAAAAGCAAACTAAAAAGTCCTATACATTTAAATAAATCTTATCCGCTAAAAGTTAGGAGAGTTAAGCAGATTTACATAAGAGGAAAATTTGTCCCAGTGAGTTTTTGTTAATACTAGTTTTTATAAAAACTAATGTTGAAAATTGAGATACCACGGCTTTAAACTTCCATACTCTCTCACAGTATGGTTAACACAGCAAAACTGAATTAGCAGAGTTTTTTTAAGCAAAAACAATTCTTTCATATTTTAAAGTGATGCTAAAATCTGATGGAAACCATGTATACTTTTATAGTATTACATATGCCTCTGCCTGTTTTAACTAGAAATGAATCATTCTGAATAGCTCTGCCACAGCACACAGTTTTCTGTCAGTTTCTGGTTTAAAAAATGCTACTTGGATGATTGTTTCTATGGAATAATAATATACATTTCCCATATTGCCTTAGCAACTTCCTCAAATATATTACCGAGCATTCATAGTGAATCTCATTGATTTATCCATATGCTGTGGTATAATGACCCACATGTCTCTGCTGGGTACTGCCGGTGACACTGTAACCTGTTAACCTTTCTTTAAAAATAACCATCACATTCATGCGAATAGAATAAAAAGTCAAACAGAAATAGAAAAGCAGTACTTTGGTACGAGACCACATGTCAAGACTGGCTAAAATTAAGAACAAACAAGCAGCATAGAGATTTATTATATTGCAAAATTATTTTGATGTGGTTTGCTAGCTTGCAGATTTGATTGTCAACACACTAGCAGCATTAGCCAACAGTATAAAATGTAAATGTCATATGCTAAAAGGAAAAGTGTTACTGAATATTTATTCACTCATTATTTCAAAGCTGTTGTATTGCACAAGGACAGGACCCTGTGCAAAAAGTACAGATACCCACCTCCAAAGTACAAACTGCCTTCAATTCTCATCAAAACCAGTGGGAATAGAGGGCACTCTGCCCCTCGCAGGAAATATTCAGCCCCTTGGGCAACCACTTTGCAACATTTCTACTAGTGATAATTCTAGTGTAATGATTCATTTTAAATTTCGCTACACATCGCAGATTGTAATAAGCAAAACCTAAAATCATTTTATCAAACTATTGAGGAAGACAAACGTTTTAAAGTATCCATAACCAATTATAACGTTGATGTTGCTGCTTTCTTCTACTTAAAAAAAATGTTCCATTGTTCAGTGTCCACAAAGAATACCAAAAATCGGAGTCCATAAATCCATGTCAATTGATAAAGGATTTATGTTAAACACAAACATGATAATAGATGCGTGTCATAGGCAGATGTCAGAAAGTATTCCGCTACCACGGTTCTAATAACGAACCACCTGGAAATGTTTTCTGTGGAGAGAGGGGAGAGCCCACAACTATCATCGGAACAACAATGAATCTACGTAGCAACCAGCTGAAGGGGTCAGAGGCTCGGTGTTCGGTCTGTATTTATAAACACAGAGGCGAGGCGGCTGTAAGGAGATTGAGCGTGGCTGTTTTAACAGCTTGCACTCACGTGGGCGCCTTGGGGATTTGCCCCTTTCCCAGTTTCTCACACCGGACGCTGGAGGCGGAAGAAAAGATTCGGGGTTAAGACCGGGATCGGGTGCGGTTTAATGATCCAGCGCGATTGGCGTGCACCTGCCGACACCCACAGCCAGCAGAAAGAAATCCAGGGGTCCACACACGGCAGCGAACTCCCCTTCCTTCGCCAAAGAAGCCTCTTTTGTCCCG